ATTGATGTATTGAGCACTGTTTTAACAGTGGTATTTCTATATTGCTCTACAATTGATGTATTGAGTACTATTTTAACAGTGGTATTTCTATATCGTTCTACAATTGATGTATTGAGCACTATTTTAAAGTGGTATTTCTATATCACTCTATAATTGATGTATTGAGCACTATTTTAACAGTGGTATTTCTATATCGCTCTACAATTGATGTATTGAGCACTATTTTAACAGTGGTATTTCTATATCACTCTACAATAGATGTATTGAGTACTATTTTAACAGTGGTATTTCTATATCGCTCTACAATTGTTGTATTGAGTACTATTTTAACAGTGGTATTTCTATATTGCTCTACTGTTCTTGTATTGAGCATTATTTGATTATAGTGGATTAAAGAAAGAATATATCTGAAAATTGTTGTTTCCTGTACAGCCAGAGGTTTATATCTGGTAGTGTTCTACTTTAGATATGCCAAACTTAAAATGTTCACGATCATGATATATTAAAAAACTAAGTATTGGCCAGGCTATTTCTGGAAAAAGTTATAGAAGGTTGAATTTCTTGAGTTAACATGGAGATGATAAATGAATTAGCATAGTGGAGTCGGTCCAACTCGCGTTAGTCATTTAATACTCTGTAGATGGGAGTTGTGTCCCTTGACGGTCAGCGTTCTAGTGAATTGTAAAATATACAGATGATTGGCTTTCATGCATCACTTTTTGTGCTCCAGTGTTTGTCTGTGTCTTTCTCTCAATATTTCAATGTTGTACAACGTTAACGTTCTGCTTAATCAATTTAATAATATATATATTATAAGACTAATTTAGTAAACTATGTAACTTCGAATCTAAATTATCAGAAATAAATAAATAGCATTAGAATACTGATATTAAACAAATTCACAATGAAATATGAAGATTAAATATATGAAAAAACAAAATAATAAATAATAAATAATAAATGATAAATACAATATTTATAGAGCGCATTATATAATAACAACAATTACTCTAAGCGCTTTGCATAAAACATAAAATACAAAGCACCGACGAATAAACAAGCAGATGCTATCACTCTCTATCTATAATGTCTACAGAATCGAGTTTTGCCAATCATTTTCGTTCGAATTTAGTCCAAGACTCGCAGTACATGAAAATACCCCGGGGTAGGAAAAACGTTTTTATGTGTAGGCCTGTCTCCTCGGGTCAATTATTTTGCTCTATTTTCACTTAAAAATTGCAAGATTTGAGAATTTTCATGTTTTAGTTTGCTATGAACAAGATTGTCGTTAAAGTTCTGATTTTTTGAATATCCAACTATCATTTTCTGACATGGGGGAATTTATCTTGAAGACTCTTATAGTGGTCATGAACTATCTTGCTTGCTAAATTACTGGTTGTAATGAACGAGACTATTTACATATATCCAAGACCCAAATCAACCCCCGAATAGCAAATCTGTCTCTTTAAGCAAGTTAAAATATGATTACATTTTTACAGTGAATTAATGCATATTTCCACCAAAAAAATTGACAATAATTGAATAAAACCCACGTGACAGACAATTTACTCAGAAAATAATTTTTTCTTCTAATCAATTAAAATTGTATATTATGATGCATTGATGCTTTAATAACACTTATTATTTAGAAAACAAAATAGGTCTGCTTGCCCGCTCATGGTCCGCCATATTTACTACTAGCAGTCGCCATACTTGTTAAAAAATATGGCCGCCACCCAACATAAAAGACAGATGAGGCACGCCTATTCAGACCTCGGACTGTCAACATCGAGAATAATCGGTGTGTGGTGGTCATATTTCTTGAACAAGTATGGCGGCCCAAAGGTTAAATATATTTTTTGATAATTGATTTTAGCCTAATCAGAACATGATAGCTTTAAGTAATACTAATCGTATGAGCTGCATATGGTAATAGTTTTTATTCAGCACAAAAAGAAACAATGCCCAATAGAATCTTTTGCCAGGATGCATTATTTCAGTTTAAAATTTCCTTTTTTTTTCGACAGCCATTAGTTTCTTTTAATATGTCATTTCGGAGTTACCCCACGTCATGTTGCCCTCTATTGTTCAACGTCAACTTGGACACGTGATCGATCATTTTTTGGGGCACATTGGTTTACAATGGGGCGAAATTGGAAAGAAACGACTTAACTCCGGTTTTTGATAACAGAGTGTTCGTCCGATGTACGGAAAGGTGTAAACGTGTATCCATCGACGGAGATGTTTATTTGTTTACCATGGAAATTCCACATAAAAAAGGTTTTCATATTTTCTTATCCTACTCCGGCCGACAACTTTTACTGTAAAAATAGCTGGCAGGAATAGAGGCAGATGTTTCGGACTATTTTCAACATGGTGTATATTAATATTATTGTTAAATACAATACTCAAAAGTTAAAAGACAGACATTTTCAATTAGAAAGTATTAATGGAACATTATCGATTTTTATAGAGCTACATGGTTATGAGTTTACGTATATACCTACAGGGGAGGCAGGGGGTGGGGGGCAACGCCCCAAGTATTATCCTTTCTGGCAGCGACCGAAAAAAATATCGGGCAAAAACCCCAAAACAAAGATAAGTACTGGTAAAATGATCTAGAAACAATTAATACCCTTCAATCTGGTAGCCCCGAAAGAGTTAAAATGGTGCCAAAGCCTATTAGTATTAGCTATGCACAACCTCAAGCCTGAGACAGATGAGAGGATAGCTGAGTTGCCTGCCTCAAGAGAGCTGAGCTGTTTCTCCCGTTTACGCTGAATTTTTAGTGAGATTTCTTCCTCAAGAGGCTCTGAGGGAAATATCTATCTTGTTTGATATTTTCTGAAATCTGAGGCTTGAAATTCACCGAGTGCGGACGTCAAAGCTGCCTGCTGAGCTAGAAAAAGTAGCTTACCAATAGAAACGCGTTGACGGATCACGTGGTATCAGTATGGGAACAGTGAATGACGCAATCTGTACAAGTCTTATCTATCCGTTTTTATACGCTGTTTATTCTGTGGAATTCCATAACAGGGAGATGGGGCCATTTTGATTAGTTATGTGGCACGGATGCAGTCCGAATGTTCTTCGTTTTTTTCCGTTGACATAAGGAATTGGCCGGGTATTTCTAGTGAGACAGGCGATGTGCGATAAAAAAAATAGTGAAAAATGTTGCTCAGCTGACAACCTCTCGAGGTAGGCATCTCAGCTAGTTCCCGTCGTCTGCGGCAGGCCTTATCCATCGTTCATAAAATACCTATTCCGCTTTCAGGGGAGATAACAACAATTAAGCATATTTAATCTACCGCAACAAATTAGTAACCCCAACAAGTTTAGTCAGTTTATTTGATATATTTATCCATAGATTTATTTATCGATTTTTCGAGAAAATAATTTAAATTCGAGTACATTGTTATAATAAATGAAATATTTTGTAGAGACTGAATTCAAAATGCATCTCTATAGTGTCTGAAAGGCTTCTCTTCGACATTTTTTCGTAAGATTGAATTGATTTCGTTCATTCCCACAAATAACTTAGGACAAGAAGATATAAAAATATTGTTTTTAATTTGTTAAGATAAAGTGGGAGTACATTTTTCGAGGGGGAAAGTTCAGAATATTTTTTTTTATGCTACAAGTCATAAGTCTGTAAATCATTCAATAAAACTTTCTGATGGAAAACTTTCAATCCGCTTGCCAAATTATATAAAGTACGAATCCTGTCTCGCACACTACACTCGTTACCAGGTTCTTTTAGAAGATCTCTTAAAGTGATGCCATTTGAACAGAATTCTTGTACTCCAGGCTACCCACCCATTTTATCAAATATAATCCAAAAAATGTTTCAAAAACTGATCATCATAAAATTACCGACTGAATAAATTGATGAGGTTTGTCAACGTTTAAACGTTTCGCTCTGCTTAAATCACATGATATCGTCTGTTTTACGTCTTATATCGCGAGACCTAGATTGACCCCGATAAAGTGCCGTGGGTTCGAATCCTCCACTGATGTTCTATGGGGTATATTATAGTATAGCATAGTAAAATTGAGAGTAAAAAGTTGCATAGTAGTGGACTCCTTCCAGAGAGACGTATAATTAAATATTTTGAAAAGAGTGAAGCTAGTCTGCTTGTACAAGCCACCACCATAAAGTCAACATCACAATATAAATTAATAAATGGTTTATTCGATAATGATATAAATGAATAACATTATAAACACAAACTAAGCTTAAATTAAAAACTTTACAATCTATGTAATTAATATTGTCAATTAACAAGTTCTGTCTGGCAACAATGTGTGAGAAAATAGGTTGTCAATCAATTTATTAATAAATAGATTGGTCCATGGTTCACTTTATCTAAACAAAAAGACCTTTCTTTATATATAATACTCACGAGTGCATGTGTTTATAATTACAAAATAAAACGTATAACCTGGATAATTCTGGACGTACTTAGATTTGAGTGCTAAAATTTCAATGGTGACTTGTGAACACTACTACTGATAAGCTTCACCGAAACATATTCTGTTTCTTTGACCAAATTAAATTGATCATTTGAATGGTAAATGGCATGCAAACTTTCAGTCTTAATTCTGAAGTGTTACAGATGCCACTGGAACAGGTGCCCATTTGAGCTAATGCAGACGTGCAACACCAAACAGTGTGAAATGAGGGAAATTTATCAGGACAGCTGAAATAGCTTACATAATATGCCACCTTAGAATTGATCTAGATTACAGATTTTGAGCTCACTGTTTCAAGCTCCAACATAGCTATCTGAAATGAAATGGTCCTATTTTTCTGTAAACACAGCACAGTGTACAATGGGGTACATTTTACCATGACATCTGCACTAGAGAAGGGGCTACATGAGAGTCAGTTGGTTTCAGAAAGGCAACAATTATTTTGAGTTTCTCACCACTGTATAACATAGTTATCAGAGATAAATTATAACCCGAAAAGTTATAGAATAACAAACTTAATGATGGAACTAGTGTCTGGATTTTTTAGATGGTGGTGGAACATAATCATCAACGTCCAACGCCAATTCTTTGACACGTTTCTGAAAATATTTATTGAGTATTGTCCCTGACTTGTACTGAGGTGTGTTCCTGTTATTGTATTCCACACAATTAAAAAATATTAATTTCACATCTTCAACAATCTGATTTGGATCGCGATATTCAAACTTGTGAATTTTATTTTTGATCGTTTGGAAATCCATTGGTTCTTTAATGACATCATAATAATCAGGAACCTAAAAAGATAACAAATCATAATGCAAATTTTCAAAATTCAAACTATTGAACACAAAAGTAGAGTTGGAATAAAATCTAAGTGCACCATTTCAATTTTTAATTACACCACACCATTCCTCTTTAAAACCTCTTTATAATTTCTTTAATGTTTTCAATTGGTCTCAGATGTCCATAATTATATCATTGCTGGACTAGACAATCAAATCAATAATCCCTTACCTCTCGTCTGTTGACTGGTTTTAAAAATGGCCAGGCATCATCATGCTTGACGAGATCAGCTATTAATTCTTCTGCCATCTTTAAATGCTGGATTTTAGCGTTACCTCTACTTCCGCTTTTAGATTTCTTAGCACTGTTATCTATCAAATAGATATTTTACAATTCATTATGGTCGGGTGGTAGGAATTTGAAATTTTACAATTCATTATGGTAGGAATTTGAAATTTTACAATTCATTGTGGTAGGAATTTGAATTTCACATTTCATTATGGTAGGAATTTGAAATTTTACAATTCATTATGGTAGGCATTAGAACTATTACAATTCATTATGGTAGGAATTTAAAATTTTACAATTCATTGTGGTAGGAATTTAAACTATTACAATTCATTATGGTAGGAATTTAAACTATTTACAATTCATTATGGTAGGAATTCAGACTATTACAATTCATTATGGTAGGAATTTAAACTATTTACAATTCATTATGGTAGGAATTTAAACTATTACAATTCATTATGGTAGGAATTTGAACTATTACAATTCATTATGGTAGGAATTTAAACTATTACAATTCATTATGGTAGGAATTTAAACTATTTACAATTCATTATGGTAGGAATTTAAACTATTACAATTCATTATGGTAGGAATTTGAAATTTTACAATTCATTATGGTAGGCATTAGAACTATTACAATTCATTATGGTAGGAATTTGAACTATTACAATTCATTATGGTAGGAATTTAAACTATTACAATTCATTATGGTAGGAATTTAAACTATTACAATTCATTATGGTAGGAATTTAAACTATTACAATTCATTATGGTAGGAATTTAAACTATTACAATTCATTATGGTAGGAATTTAAACTATTACAATTCATTATGGTAGGAATTTAAACTATTACAATTCATTATGGTAGGAATTCAGACTATTACAATTCATTATGGTAGGAATTTAAACTATTACAATTCAATATGGTAGGAATTTAAACTATTACAATTCAATATGGTAGGAATTTAAACTATTACAATTCATTATGGTAGGAATTTGAAATTTTACAATTCATTATGGTAGGAATTCAGACTATTACAATTCATTATGGCAACTCTAAAATGATTGACAGTAATTCTGATCTGATGCAAATGTGCTATATTGTTTGCATTTTTCATGTAATCTTTATAGAAATTTGAACCAAATCTAATTTTTTACACATTAATATGGCCAATGGGGAATTTCTAAATTTAACAGCACTAGTGCTCACATGGAAAAATCTAATCCAAAACATACCTTCTTTTTCTGTTGTTCGTGGAGTGGTTCTCCTGGATTTGGCAGATCGTACTGGAGTATCATCATCAGATTCACCTTTAGTTGATGATCGAGGTGTTGAGGCAGGACTGTGTTTCGGACTATTTCTAGCTAGTACGGCTAAATTAGATTTGGAGGATCTCTTGGCTGTCAAAATAAAAATTTCAATTATTTCAATTTTAAACAATCTGCATTCGCATTTTAATCATATTGAATTTTAAACTCTCGTTCAAAGAGGAGAGAAAAAGTTTCCTTACCTTTTTGTTTCTGTCCAAATTTGACTTTGCCAACTTTATTGATGCCCAAACATTCCTGGCAGAGCCATTTACCACGTGGTATTTTCTTCAAGGCAGGGATAGCGCAGGCCAAGTGGTACGATTTAGGACAACAGTCACAGCAGATCAACATGCCTGGTGTATTACAAACTGAGCAGGTGTTTTCATTGTCGTCTTCCATTGACTCATCTGCTTCTTCTTCCTCTTCCTCTTCTGCCTCACTGGAATTATTACAAATAAAAATATTAATTGAAGTTGAACAAGACAACAAGTTTGCCTTCATGAATTATCGTCTATTTACTGGAAGTTATCAGAAGTTAAGGTGGCTAATAAGGCAGTGAGTTGGACAAAGCAACAATCTTGTATAATAGTTCCTTATAAGGATAATCTGCAACGCCGGTTTCTGTAGTTAAAATAGGAATGTCAAGTTCATTCTGGATAGCATTACCCCACACAATATTACAATAATCCAATCTTTAAATCTTCTACCTGGAACTTCAGATTAGCGAGAAAGCGTCCTACCATGGATCACTTCCCCAGAAATGCAAGAAGAACTAACAACTGTTACCTTTCTTCATCAACCTCGCTGCATGCATCTTCTTCCTCTTCCTCTTCCTCTTCAGCCTCCTCTTCCTGGCTACTCCCTTCCTCTTCCACTTCCTCATCATCAGTAAACGTACGTCTCCTCCCCTTCCTGGGGCTTCTGATGATCACTTCTTTAGGGCGACAGTTAGGACAGTACCAATCACCCACTGGAACTTTCTGTAATTTTGAATAGGGATTTTAAACCCCATTGCTTTTAACTTATTGGACTCATGAAAATGCAAAGCCATTGAATTAAATTAAGTTTTAAAGGAGTGAATTAAATGAAATTAAATGAAGTTTACATCACACTTTTATATGCCCTATAGGACTTAAGAAGACAGAGAAAACTGAATGAGATAATCCTTTCCTACCTTTATAGGTGGTTTCAAACAATCCATATGATGACCTCTATCACATCCATCACATAGTAACATACGTTCAGCATCGCCTTTTTTACGACACAATCGACAGCGAGCATGGAGAGCCGATTTGTCCCACATGACGCTCTTTTCGAACGTAGATAAATATAAGTAAACTTGGGATAAAGACGTCACATGTTTCAAAGACTCCTGCCATTTATCAAATGTCGTTATTTTCTTTTTTTCTTCTTCTTTGTTATCTAGAAAATAAAAATACAATATTAAATGGCTTGTAGGTAGTCCAAATTTGCATAAAATAAAGTAATGAAAATCAAGTCCTCTGTTGGTTGAAGAAAAATGTAATAAATACAAACAAGGATTTTCAGTTTCACTTGATATAATTTTTTAAAGGCAACCCAGAATTCTGTGCAATGATTAGTTTTTAAGGGTATCACAAACAAGATTGTAAATTTGAGCTTTTCCAAGTAGACCTTTTGCTACAAATTTCTCAAAACATAAATGAGAGAATGGACACACTGCCAAGCTATAAAATCCACAAACTTAAGACCCTGTGAATAATAATAATTTCACCGCTCAACAATATGTAATTTATCATTTCTGATGTGTTTCCTATGTTATTGTCTCCTCAATCTAATAAGGGGAGATAATTAATAGTGAGTTACACCAAGGAAAGATAATCACTGGTATACTTACCATCACTGTCGTCTCCATCCTTTATCTCTTCTTCCTTCTTTTTCTTCTTCTTATCTCCCTTACCACCCTTCTTCTTTCCATCAGATTCTTCTGCAAAAACAAACAAGGGGGAATAAAAAAACAAGCGCCACGTTTGAATTGGACAATAAGCTAATATTTTTCTATAGTCTGTGCATGCAAAATTTGTAACAAATGGGAGGTGGCTCGATTGGTTCTGCACGTTTGGAATCATGTAATCAACTGAATTTTCAAAGAAACAATGTGGAACAGTGTTCAGAACACATTCAAAGTGTGCCAAAAAAATTTTCAATGTGGCATATTTGCTTCTGTACCTTTCGATTGAGGTCAGAATTGGAAAAGACAGGATCAATTCAGAACTACCCATTCAAGCTTCACCTTTGTTATAGAGATTATCAAGGGCAACAACTCTTGTCATACTTACTTAAAGGTAATTGAAGATATCTATGGTCAATGCCCTCTGATATTTCAAACAAGGCTTGTGATAATTCTTTAACACTGTCCTTTTCATTCTCTAATGGGGCATCACTGAAAATATACAATTTGATAGTTCAAACGTCAGACATATTAAATTTGGCTTAAATCTAAAAAAAACCCAGACAATTACAGGGATTCCTTCATGCCAGTTATGGCTCCAATTGGAGAACAGGTACATTTACCTCACAGGCGGGTGAGCTATCAGACTATCCATGGGAGGCGTCTGCTATGGTGGTTAAATTTTGGTAATTTAAAAGGTCTTTGAAAAATATCCGACTGACAAATAACCAGTCCTGATCTTAAATATCCCAATTCCCTGACTTTTTAAAGAATCTGACTAACTGAGTGTGTAATATTGTACAAGATAGCAATCAAAACAAATCAAAAGAATGTAACTTACCCACTGTTGCCACCATTAGCTAAATTTCCTGAAGCATTTGATTCTATTTTAGATCTCCACACCCCCCTGTCTTCAACCTTAAATAATAAATGGTTTCAATACTTTAAGAGTTCAGGGCCCTGTTTCTCAAAAAATCTTACGATAAGAATTTGTCATATTGTGAAATTTTACTTTGAGAAATACCATACAATACATCAAAATTGATCGTGAGGTTATTTTGAAAAACAAGGTCCAGCATTCTTTAGTACCCTACTGTTACCGTCGGTAACACAAAAGTAAAATTCAGTAATAAACGTTCAAATATACAATTGGATTTAATGCGCAGAGCGTCATGATGAATTTTAATTTTGGCCAATCATAGAAAAAATTAGAGCACAAAAGGGTTATTTTTAATCGCTAACTGTGATGCGATACCACTTAAATGGAACCCTGTGTATAATGTTCGAGTTCCATTGCTCTAAGAGTTGCATATCAATAAAGAATAATCATATAATTACTTAGTAACAAAACTTTGAATTCCATAAACAGTGCCATACCTTTAAATACCCCAGAGCTCCAACAAACATTCTGTCTTCAATATCTAGAATAGCATCTCGTAAATTTAACTCTAGGTCTACATCTGCTGAATCACGTTTCAAAGTGTCTTGAGCTGCCTTTTTACTGGCGATACCTCGAGTTAGCGCTAGCGCCTTAATCCTCGCTTCTTCCGTATCCACTCCTGATTGACACAATTCCTCCGTCTCACATCTGTCTAACGAATTCACGACTAACGGCTTGATTTCTGTGATAGTCTGTTTCAGAGAACTTTCGCGGAACCCACGAGGATTGAGTACATTCAATAACTGATCCAAACATCCTGGTGAAACAAAAGACCAAGAGTACTTCACTCTTTCCTTGATTTGTAAAATTGCTGGCGTGTCTGGTATTTTAATAAATTGTTCTTTTCCGTCATTTGACCTACTTTCATCATCACTGATTACAATGCAGTTGTCTCCCTTGTCATCAGGGTACAAGTCATTTTCCTTGTCACTGCTTGTATTGTTTTTGTCCGTGTCACAGACTGGAGTCTGACTTTCGTAACAAAATAGTTTTTCTTCATCAACAAATAAAGAGTTATCTTCCACAAAAATTCCTGCAATGACAACATTTTGAAATTATATTTTCAATTCATTTGAAACAAAATATTGAATACTAGACACGTTAGTAACGGTTAAGGTCATAGAAAACTAAGAGATTTGACCTTAGACTTTATCTTAGAGATTTTTAAGTTATTCTTTCAATGCTTTTTCAATGTTTTTTTACAGAAAGCATATGCTTTACAGATAACTGTGAAGACCAGATGCTGATTTAAGACTCTATATTGACAAAATTTAACTTTAGAAATTTATCTAGAGATTAACTGATTTATACTAAAAATGTGTAAAAGATCAATGTCAAGAGGTTTGGCCAAGGACCAGCTGGTAGAAAGGATCATAAATAAACATAAATTGTTATCCTTGTTAAAACCAATTGTTTGTTTGTTTAATTTAAGAGTTGTCTTACCATTCATAGACTTGAACAACCAGTAGCGTCTGAACATTCTATCACGACCAAGAGGATAAGTGGCTATATTTTGTTGTAATTCCATAATCTCGGTCATGAAGTCTTCCTCTTTTCTGGCAAACTCTAGCTTTTTCTTCACTTCTTTTTCTTGATATTTTCTCTCCTGAGCTTCTTTTTCTTCTGCTGTCAGTTCTTCTTCTTCCTCTTCATCTACCTCCATTTTGTTTTCATTCTGATCTTTAACTGCTCCTTCGATGTTTCTACAACAAAAACAACATTCAAAATGGTTGTCTATGATGGGACGAATACTCTTGGTGTTAAACTTTAAATCACGTTGTATGTTCTGTTACTTATGGTGGTATTAGGGGGTGAGAGCCCACACAAGGCGGACTCTAGAAAGCACTGGCACAGGCATCAGAATTTTGTTCTTACCTTGAAGAGGATTTGAACCCATGGCACCTAATTGACTAGCAGATGACAATCCAACTCGCTACCGACTGAGCTATTCCACTGCCACATAAAGACAGTGTCCCAACCCAGAGTTACAGGGAAGTATTGATGTTTACGCAGTTGAAAATTTGTTAATCCCTTCCAGGAGATATTCATATATCACCATATATTCATGGTGGTGTTTGATTGGAAAGTTCTAACTGATTCCGCTTGTTCTAATTTTGGCCTCAAAAGAACGGTGCTGAAGTAGATTATTTCACATTCAAAATTTTCCCTTCCAAATCTTTCTCGGCCATTTTGAATTCTTTCTACACCATCATTTTTTTGGGCACAAGTGAAACGCTTTCTGAACTATGTTCGATTTTGTTTACATTAATGTCTGATTGATTCCTTGAATCCTGAATGTGCAGAACTCAATCGAGTGGCCCCTGTATTTTAAGTTTTAAAAAAAAGTAACTGTAAAGGTTACCTGTATATTTATACTGTGTAAATAACAACTATGTATAACATATAATCTACTTACGCTTTAGGATTTTGTTCCATCAATAATTTCATTTTTTTCATTCTTTCTTTCATCTTATCTTCTTGTTGCTTTTTATACCTGTGAAATAATTGAAATTTGAATTATAGTTCACCAATGTATTTATCATTACAGTTACTATAGGATATTTTTCTCTTATCATACTCTTGCGTTATCTCCATCGCGCACTTCTCTTCATTTCAAACACATTGATTGGATTGTAAGCTAGCAAATACAGCCAATCAGTACCCTAGATAGAAAGACAGTTACCTTGCTGCAGCGTCTTCTCGTTCTCTACGTTGTTCTGCCCATTGTAGTTGTTTTAAATCATATTTCAATGTACGTATTTTATCAAAACTTTCATCTATCAAATCTCTAATAGCAGCGTAAGATAATATTTGTTGTAACAAGACACTGATTATTTTTAACTTGTCCTCTGAAAACAAAGTTAGAATTATATGATAAAAGGCCTGAAACCACTGTAACTCTGGAGTACCATCTATATATCGGTTATATACTTTGATATGCCAGTCTCTCTAACTAGATCATTTAATACCCCGGTTCCCAACTTACGGTGTTTTCACCCCTTGGGGGTGTGGGGCTAGGGTGTCAGGGGTGTGGCTAACTGGTGTAGGAGAAGAATTTATTTTGAATTGAGAGAACACCTCACATCATCACATGCTGGAAATGTGGATGAAACATTTTTTTCACTTAGCAATTGCAACATATCTATGCTCAAGTGTTGATATTCTACCTATTTTACAAATCTCCAGATATTTCATTTAAAAAAAAAACACACACCTGGTTGAAGATCATACACGTTTTTAGAATTTAACGATTTCAACAGATTCATGTCTGTTATTTTAAAATCTAAACCAGCGTCATCTTGTGAAGTATAACCACCACGCTGTTGATATCGGAACCTGGCGTTACGTATCGTAGTTTTACAACCGGCTGACATCAAATGAAGTCGAAGAATCTCAGAAAGAGTAAATTGATCAAGTAGCATCTTTTTTAACGGCAATCCTATATAAATATAATATAAAAAATTTTTAACATGCAGTACGGATGTAAAGCCAAATGAAGATATTAATGCAAACACATCAAGGTCCAATTCAAACAGAAACTCAAGCAGTCCACTTTATTTATAGGTAGTTTAAGTAGTAATCAACTCAATGTACATTTAGTCTGTTTGTTACTATTACTATTTATTCTACCTATAAATAAAGTGGACTGCTCATCTTTATTAAGGTTAACCACTTAACTGTCAAGGGAGGTAACTCTTAATGCAGATTTGAAATTTTAAGACTACAATATTACAATGAATCCATAACATACCATGAACTTGTTGTGGAGTTTGAGCTATCATTGTAGCCTGTTCTATCAGCTGATTGGTTAATGATTCATCTTGATCATCATCACGTATTGCTGAAATAACGATTAAAAAATCATGTAATTAATCAGAACAATAATTGCACATACATGAGAGTTAATATAAGATGAGATGAAGGTCCACTTTTTGAGAATTGTTACTAAAGTTTAAATTGAAGAAACAACACATATACAAAATTGAATGCAAGAATTTTTGAGGTGCAAAGCACACATCCTTCAACATCAATTAAGATCATGATAATTTTATCAAAACTGTGCAGGTTTTCAAACACATGAATTAATATAGGACCTTTCCTCAGCATTAAATTATTAACTTTTTGAACATTGAATGCAAATATTTGTCATATTTGACTGTTCATATGAAGTGACAATGCCAATATAACTCTATCTTAGTGGGTTATATAACAAAATGATGTTTGACACCCTACAATCTTCTTGTATCTTATTGGGCTAATAATAAAAATGAAGCAGGAGCACAACTTACACGATTCAGTTTCCAGCTCTGCCACCTCCTCTGCTTCTTCTTCTTGAAGAGTAAAAATAGCCACTAGTAACATCTGTAGTAAATCACATAGTGGACCATCTGTATCATTATCTAATATAGCTGATTCTAACATACCTTTAATATCAATACAGTAAACAACTTAAACTGGGCCACTGTTGTGTTCGCTTATCCCTACACTTTCAACAGGTAAGGTCTTAATCTCACGGTCAAAATATTGACAGTACGATTGGGCACAACATCGTCTATTTAGTGTTGACAACTAAGATCCCCAATGACGTTACTTTGGTATTTGACGTGAATTTTGTCCAATCAATGCCAAGATACCAATAGCTTAATCCAGTTCCTTTGATGCAAAGCTTTAGCTGGTATGGCGGACCAAGTTTATAATACACTAAGCCGAGTTTATAATACGCTAAGCCAAGTTTATAATACGCTAAGCCAAGTTTATAATATGCTAAGCCAAGTTTATAAAACGCTAAGCCAAGTTTATAATATGCTAAGCCAAGTTTATAAAACGCTAAGCCAAGTTTATAATATGCTAAGCCAAGTTTATAACCTGTATAATAAACGTTATTTGTGATATGGAGTCTGTGAAAAATATGACGAATAAAAAAAAAAACACCAAGTAACATTATAAGCGAAGTTGATTCTCAAAAGGCATGTGTATTTGACAGTGAATTTAACTCTTCATTATGACGCTGATTTTCAAAAATACTTTGTACACTGCCACTTTAACTTACCGTAAGTGAAACCTTTAGGAAAGAACTGTTTAAAATCAAACATAGTTTTAAAACAATGTGTAAACTCTAAAACATGCATAGTTTCTCCGAATAATTCACTTGGTAACCTGGTTGAAACTGGTGTAAACTCCGGCATTATCTGAAATATAAAGTAAATAATGATGTAGATAACCATAATATACTTTAATACGTGAACCTTGTATTGTGACAGGGGTATACACTGTCATTATGGTACAAATATTTCAAGCAACAGTCAGTTAGTCACAGTATTTTATGCTACTCTTCTAAGGCATTCAGTTAGGAACAGTGATTTTATGTTTAGATGGGAGACAGGGGTTTTGAGGAAACAGGGAGGGAGAAGGGGCTTGTAAGGGGAGACAATTCTACCTTAAGGTCATCAAGTTCAATATCTTCTCTTATTCTGTTATATTCTCTCAATATCTCTAGTTGTTTAAATTTCTCCTTTCTTAGTTCTTCTCTTTCCTATAAAAACATTGAAATATATCGTTAAATCTTATCATTGGAAGACTCCGAAGGGACAATAAACTGAGATTCTGTTTGCTACAGGCTGAGCACATTAAAGCTCCTTCTTCAGATGGAAATTCAAAAGGTGTAGGCTTATGTCGCTGTCATCACAAAATATTCCTCCTTCTTCTTTCGACCTGTCTTCATTAGCCCAATCAGGTTCAGAAAAGTAGGACGTAAAACTCAATTCATTTTGTTTATCATTCTATCAGATGTGTTGCTAATTATCGGAAAAAAAACATTTTGCTATGAAAGATTGGGTGACATCTGCTCAGTTTAAGGTTAGATACAATCTGACAGGCAAATGCCCCTAATTTTACACATGAACTCTTCAAATAGTAAGTTTTTAGATTACATTGATCGAAAGTATGCATATGTGGAAGAGTTCAATAGATAGTTGAGGGATGTCAATAGATAACAAGCACCTGAGTAAGTCATATTTACCTTTGCCTTTTCCTCTCTCTTTTTATTTCTAATTTCTTCATTCCTTTTCCTAATTTCTTCTTTTTTTCTCTCTCTCTCTTCCAGTCTCTCCTGTTTGACTTTCTCTCTTTGTGCAGCTCTTTCTTCCGTGGTCATTTTTAATAGAGTTTCTTGATCCACACCATAGTCAGGTATAAATGGATTGTCTAAAATACAACAAAGACATAAGACATTGGATCAGGGATGATAAAATGTTTTTACTTGCCAGTCATGTCTGGTTGCATCTCTAGACTGTTGATTTGATTATGTAAGCTTATATATTGAAACTTCATTAGCTGCTACCAATGTTTTGCCATGTTTGGTTTTGCGGGGTTGGTGGTAATTGATTTATTTATATATTATATATGCCAGTAATGTTTAATTATAGCTCCAAAATGTCTAATGTTAATTTAGGACACTAGACAAGAAAAATGTGTCAGTTTTTGTAAGATCTAACCTATTTACAACCAAATTTACCAAAGAATGTTAATCTAGATGCTAAGAAATAATGGACTGTAAAATTTTCAAAATAGTATGGCAGTAGAGGTAGAAACACAAGGACGCTATGAGTATACTCACGTTTAGCAGGATCTGGTTTCTTGTCCTTTGTTTTGGATTTCTTCGATGCTGACCCCTCTGTACCAGGTTTGCCGTCTGATTTTTTACTGGCCGGCTTTTTCTTTTGACTAGAAACTTCAAATGTTGGCATTGGTCCAGCGTAAAACTGATCAAACTTGCAGGAATTCAACTTGAATTTCAATTTACTCTCATCCTGTTCAATAGAACAAAAGTTTGATTGAGATTTTTTTTGTCAAAGTTAAATATTTTTCAGTATTTGGTTAGCTAGATACTTTCTGACTTTTGCCTTGATCTGTATTTGCAACCATATGCAATTAGTTGTGAGGGCACCTTTACACTTGATTGATCCAAAAAACCCAATTTTTCAACTTCAATTCTTATAAAGTGTATCATAGTTCACTAATTGATTGAATGATTGATTGATTGATTGATTGAATGAATGAATGAATGAATGAATGAATGAATGAATGAATGAATGAATGAATGAATGAATGAATGAATGAATGAATGAATGAATGAATGAATGAATGAATGAATGAATGAATGAATGAATATCTCAGAAGAAACACTTACCTTGACCTTCCACACTCCATCAACAGGTTCACAATGTAATTTCAAATATAACTTATTCTTATCTCTTGTATATACGCGGTTCTTACGACTAAAATAAATCATTTATTCATCATTTTTCATTTTAATAAAATCTTAAATAACAAGGGTGAAAAATAAGGCCCAAGGCCTCTTTACAATTTTGCCCTGTGAAACAAGAAAACATTGTCAGCAACTAACCTGATAACACTGCATCTGACAGTAGACATGGCACCACCTTTCTTCTCTTTTACAACATATTTATATTTAGCTGGTTCTTGTAGTGCTGGGGGTTTAACACTGAAAATACAAATATTGGTATTAATTAGGGTATTTGGGCAAGGCAATATGTAGACCCAAACATCTCCCTCTATTCCAGCCCCTCTGATAGCTATTATCAAATTTGTTGGCTAGTACAGAAACAAAAAAACTAAGCTAGCCCCTTTCGTTCCATAAAAGTGTTTTTTAAGCAAAACTGATTTCTCCTAGGCCATTTCTAATTTACATTTCAGAATTATTATAAGAATGAGAAAAAATATGATCATAAGATAAGATGTTCTTCATAACTATGTTGGTATTTGTACATATTTCATAAGATTCATAAGAAAAAACTAATGCTCATGGGTTGAATATACAGGCCATTCACATTCACCAGAATCCATGAATGATACAAATATTATACTAATATTCTTACATACCTTTCTTCTTCATCATCATCAATAACAATGACATCTCCATTTTTAGCTTCCCCAGGTGGTGGTATAATCTTGATAACTTCACATGTTCTCCTGAAGATAAAAGAAACATCAAAACTTACATCACTGGCAAAATTTCTTTTACAAAATGATAACATTGATAGGATAGATTCAGACAATTGTCAAGAGTGCTCAAGGGCAATATTTTCTCTGTGTAATTTGATAAATTTGAAAGCATGGCTGGGGGTGTTGGCCAAAGCCAGACCTGTCTCAATTATGGGTGGGCCACCCTCCCCCCTCTTCTCTAGCCCATAAAGAAACGCCACTGTATTACAGTCAGATTATGATTTCAGCTTAAAATTGAAAAGGGGATATTGATTTTTACCTGACATCGTTGATGACCACATCTACAACTTCTCCAAGAAAAAATCGTTCTTTAACAAAACCAAAAATATCATCATTAAGATCATTGAGTCGAGTTCGGTGTGTTTTGGTGGCCAGATATAAAATTGGCTTCTGAATGCAGGAAGGAAAAGATGACAGATTCTTTTTGGCTTTTTCTTCACATTCTACAGCTTCTTGATAAGTCAGCCCGGATTTACCAGTGATTGCACACGACCATACCAAGCTATTACACAGTATAATTCTCTCAAAAAAACTCCTGAAATGGTATTTTTAAAAAAAATATGTTGGAACGTCAAGTGCTTAAAATAGACAATTTATATGGATAGATACTTCTAGAATATTTATTACTTCCAATATAATGTTTCTGATGACGGTGTGAGAACCACATTGAAGCATTGCAAGTAATAACTTGTGCTTCTAATATGTCATTGGCATTGAAGGATTGTTAAAAGCTTAATTCTATTAAAGAAGTGTGCATATTCAATAATATTGTCTTGTGTTTGTGATAATCAAAAACAGATTAGGAAACACTTAATTCAATCACCTATCACCACATCAGTTACTAGTTGATGGGATTAACTACTGTGTCCATTGTTTAGAAAAGCTTTGCTCAAAATGGATAAAATCAGGATTTGTGGGTTTGTCTAAAAATTACAAAAATGCATTAAAAAGTTGTGAAGTTGTTCCTATTTGATCAAATGATGACCTAGAAAAAGAAAAAAAATCATGAAATTCTCATACAAAAAACTTTTCATTCATGAACTTTTTGAGAAAGTTGGCTACATGATTTTCAATTTCAATGCATTAGAAGGTGAAATGGAAGCAAAACTTACTCATAATCTGTGAATATTTCTTTAGTTATTCTGCAGAAAAACACTTCACTGTCTGGAGTAAGGTCAGGTGATGGCTGCTCACGTAAAAACGGCTGTTTTCGTAGTAGCGGCATGCTGAAAATAATTTTGGAGGGAAAATAAGGACACAAAATTCATTCATTGTTAATCGAAATTCGCGGTCTCTGACCCACTTTCAGCCGACTTTTGAGAGACACAAGTCAAAATCTACGAACTTACAATGAAACGAAGCTCTCAATTTACTTACTTCTTTGTTTTCCTCCGACTTTCAGCTATGGCGGTCTCGCAAACACAAAAAGGTCATCTATTCTCAACAACTCGATGAAAAATTTGGTGAAGCGATCAGAAAATTCGGCTGCTGTTCGACTTCTATGTCGGTTTTCTAACAAATGTACACATCCAAAAAATGACTAGATCTTCAACTTTGTAAAGAATTGAATAAAATTTAGACTAATTCATTAATTCTTGATCAATCTACATTATTTTTTAGGCTTCAGATATTTTAGCGAAGAATTTAGAATCATGCTTTATTTATCCGCGACAGGAAAACTCTTCTGAGGTGGAGTTAGTAAATAGTCTCCATTAACCAGCCACTCGAGAATATTTTAATAAGGCGCAAAAGAATCTTTCATTGAATAAAAAACAATTTGCCCGTTTTTGCCAAGTCCTAAATCTAAAATTTTTTACCATAGCTGTTGCGGCTCCAGAAATTTGCATTGGAGAGTGTGGGAGTGGAGGGGCGGGAGAGGGGGGTGACGGCTCTTGAAACCGCCACTTGCGGTGATCGTATCTAAATCAAGGCAAATGCCTCATAACAAATTTGACAAATGGAAATTTTGTTTCAGAAATCAAAAATATTAATATGATATCTGCTAAATATATCGCTTATTTCATGATTACGGTAAAAGTGGTTACTGGTTGAAGTCTACCGAAAGCGGTGCGATGAAAGACCTAACTGACTTCAAAGTCAAAGACAACAGAATTTTTGCCTTATAGACAAACTACCCCATTCACGACCCTACCATCTTCACAAATCACAATGTCAAACTATTACTATAATGTCTTATAAGACGCGCTTCGCAGCTTGACATTGTGAAGATGCGGGCCTGTTGGATCATTGAGTTCTCAAATGCCTGGTTCTGCTACTCCTGTGAGCCTCCTTAACATACCGTTCCCCACCACCCCTACCCCTATTTATAGAAACATCACATTTATGGCGGGGAATGTGTGTCAATATTAAATGCTATGTAGCTAATGCATATTACAAGTTCAATGTCGCAAATGTAAGAAGTTAATGCAAAATGTTGAATGCAACGATGTTAAACTAATGCTGCTAATGTACACATTGTGTTTAATTTTGTTATCTGATTATCAGTCACTATTTTAATACACCTCTGCGCAAAGCTATTTATTTCTCAAAATATTAGGTGTAAATATAAATGATATAAAAGACTTCTCTCCTATAGAAGCATTGACCAAGGTCACGAGAGGAGTCCGTGAATATCGGTGTGATTATTTTATTTTATAGAATACTTTCTACTTAAATGTTATGTATTTATATTAATCATAACATCTAAAGAAAATGAAAATGAAATGAATGAAGTTTTACGTCCTACCTTTCTGCACCATGTGGGCTAATGAAGGCGAACAACGCCATGCAGGGCGCAATGAGGAAATTTTGCCAGGACAGGGGAATTAGCCTTCGCCTACTCTTTTTCATTTATTCATATAATTCAAATAGTGAAACATTACATCCAGGAAATATGGACATATATATATAAAAAATAAAATAATCGGACAAAAAAAAGACATATTTCAGGCTTTACAAAATGTGACCTTGATATATATCCTTGAGGTCAAACATTTGGAAATATTAGGCCTATATTTTAGATACAAAGAGATCACAAGATAAAAATTTTTTTCTAACACAAATAATATTGTCGTATTTATATAAAGTCTAGTTGGAAAAGACACCATAAGACGAGTTTGATACATGTATTTACAAATGAAAAGTTTTAAAAGAAATAATGGCTTATTTTAGTTGTGGTCTGTAGGCTTAAATGATTTTATCAAAATCCAAAAAGGAATAGAAGTTGTTTTTGTAATTCAAATATTGGTTGAAGAAATTTTCTTTGAAGTCGAAATATGATTCACTAGCGGAACAGAAATCCGGACTGTAATATCGATTTTTCACTTTCATCCAGAAACAGTGAAGAAAAATGAAACTTGGGGCGGTGTCCATTTTGACAGACGGATGTTCGAGTGTCTGGATAAACCAAGACTACAAAAATCAAGATGGCGATAAGGAAGATGTTAATTTCTGCGGCTTATTTATTGAATTATTCTCTTTAACAGGCCGATATTATAGAATAATTCGACAAGAATAGTCGCAAGGAAACAGTTGGATAATTGTGCTATTAGGCTACATAAAGATCGGCGTGAATATTTGATATTTTGTGTTTGAAATATTGAATGAAAGTTGACCCGAATTTGACAAAATTTCACTTTGTTTTTCGCCTTTTTGATGATTATTACAGTCGTTGAATCATAATTTTCGTTTATTTACACGCTCTGGTAATTTTGATAGGAGCTATCATTGTTTTCATAAACAACACATACCATCATTTGAAATCTACACCAGTTGAGCTGTTATTTTGAACAAAGATTCAGAAATTTTGCTACCAAATTTAATTTGAGGTTTGACATTTAGATCTAATATTGGTGTCTGAATTGGATCAGTGCTGGAGGCAGAAGTAAAAGTGATCTATTAAAAAGTGTCAGTTACTCTCATCATTGAACTAATTTTTATTTCGTACATCGACAAGATTATCAATAAATACAGCCATAATGAGGTTAGTAAGTTAGAGAAAATTAAAAATAAAAGCCCATCCTTGTCATAACAAGGCTAGTCTACTTCATTTTTCTAAGCTTTTATGTTTATATCTCATGATTAATGCTTTTTGCATAGTCTTAATAATACATAGCTAACCAACAGACCATCCCTTACCCGCTGTTTTCTTAAACAATTTTGATAAAAGTTTGCTTATTTTTGAAAAAAGTCTTTGTTTTGCATTCCCTGTTTAAGTTACTGCATTTTTCTTAGCGTTTATGTCAATGTCATGATTAATGCTTTTTGCATAGTCTTGATAATACACAGCTAACCAATGGACCATCCTCTACCTTTTGCTTTCTATAACTAATTTAAAAGAAACATCTCAATATTTTTTTGAAACAAATGATAGATTTCATTTGGATAGCAAATGATAAAGATCCAATGGCACTAGCTTTAATGCTTAAAAGATAATTTGTGTACCATTCTTGTATTTAAAGGAATTGTAAATTTTTGTATGTATTGGGACACTCATGATAGAAACAGACAACTGAGTGGAATTGCAGGAACCACAGACATCTTGACTGAAAATTGGAATGATGCAAATTGATACAGACACTATCAATGTCACCAAAACATCTAAAAAATTGATGAAACCTTGAGAATTCCTAGATCTTGGAGGGCAAGGCATAAGCACACTTGTTATTTCTGCAAATTTTATTAAAATTCAAAAAGAAAAAATCGGTTGATTTTCACCAATTAAGAATCGAGTGACCTGACAAGACTGTCTACTTGTTATAGATTTTATTGTTGTGAATAATGTTTTTATGGGTGTGTGTCGATTTTCTTGTTCTAATGTGAGATAAAGTCATTAGAACTAGATCTTCTGAACATTTTAATTGTTTACAAGTCATTTTATTCATATAACAAGACATGAACAGGTTTTAGGAACAGGCTTTTATTTGTTATAAACTTTGCATTGAAAATTTTCAGTCCTATTTTAGTGCATAACTTTTGATTTGTTGCCAGTTTTCATTTTGTATGAGCTTATACATGCATATGAAAGGGATTGTAAAGGAAAGGTGTGTCACTATAACTAAGTGTTTGATGACGTCACTTATCACAAAATACACTTTGTGTCATATAAATTATTAGGTCCTTTAAGATTAGTGACGTCACCAAACACTTATTTTTAGTGGAAATGCAGGAATCACAGATGTCTGATTGAAAATTGGAATGGGGCAAATTGATGCTATCAGTGTCCCTGCCTGGTACACATACAAAGTTTAGAAAAAATCTTTACAATCCCTTTAAATAGATGAAAATGAGTCCTTATGATAAAAATATGTTCTTTTTTAAGTTTTTTTCAGACCTGACTGGCAAATACATACTTATCAACAGCCCTGCCAATATGATAACTAATAGATTTCATACTCTGTGATTAACAATATGTAAAAAAAACAATTACAACGACTTCTTTATTCAGTCTAATGAAAACATAACACATCTTAAAATTGATCTTAGGTCAACAGCTTCTAAATTAGTTAATGAGGGGAGGGAACTACTTACAATCAGGTTTTTAATCATTAGGATTAATAAAGATGGAAAGCCCTTGGGTAAAATGGCTGATGAGGAAATTAAAAACATTTATGTTAGCTGCAAAAGCTTAGACCCTGTAATTTTTACAATGATGGTTAGTCTCGAGCTTACAGCAAGTCTATAATATTCACAAATTTACATTGGCTTTTTTTATACAAAATTATGAGCGCTATATCATTGGTTACTCAAATATTCTGATGTTTTTTGTAAGTGTGTATTTATTCACTATCTTTATATCTAATATCACCTTCACATTGTGTTTAATGTTTTCCATTCTAGTGAAATGGCAATAATCGCTGCCAGGGCGTCTGTCATGATTTACGATGATGCCAATAAGAAATGGGTGCCGAGTGGACATACACAGGGGTTATCTAAGGTTCAGATTTACCATCATACCACTAATAATACATTTCGTGTTGTTGGTAGAAAGATACAGGATCATGAAGTAAGTACTAGAACTGTTTTTATTTTATACACTGTTAGCATCATGCTCACTGTTTTCTAGCTTTTTTGTTTAGTTTTTCTGTCAAGGGCTCTTGTTCAATGGCAGTATTCCCTAGCGTACAATCAGACCTTTACAAGCTACAAACTAATGTGATGCAAGAAAAGTGCTTATTTATGTCAAGGTATTAAGTTTGAAATAGATTGACATGCGAAGATGACCCGGATATTATGAAACTGAAAATATGTAAGGAAAAATATAGAAACAAAAAACACAAGGGAATATTATAAAGTTACCCCTCTTCTTCATTTCATCTGATGACAAATCATATTTCAAATTGTGTTGAAAGTTTATGGACTTCAAATGAATAAGACAATTTTATGGATAGATACTTTAAGAAAATAAAATTGTCTTATTTATTTAGTTATCTGTACTTGTACTATGCTATTGAAGGATTAGTTATATACTTTGTTATTGTGTACAACACTGTGTTACACCACACTATATTCCCTCTTATGTTTTTTGTTATTTGAATATATAAGTACTAAAGAATCATCATATTATTCTGTTGAACAATTGTAATAGGAAACAAGGAACAGGAAGTTTACACTAAAATAAAATCAAAACATTTATAATATGTATTATAAGTGAATTAGAGTTATACTAATTAACATGTATGTTATTTATTAACAATTATTAGTTCAATATGGTACATAAACTATTTTTAAGCTCAACAGAATACATAGCAGTACCACATTAGCCTCATGATAAGTTGATTATGGCATAAACTACATTTCATTAGCGTTATAAGGGTGGAAAGTGATGAAACTTCATTTTCTTGGCTAATTAGAGTATGAAATGAAATTAAATATGATTTCAAATATGATGCACATCCTCATTGCCAACGAACTGTGCACTATACACAAGATATACTGCCCATTTCTAGGTTGTAATAAACTGTGCAGTATGCTTATAAATTAACGTCACATTTGTTATTTCCTGTGATTGGCCGCTACATTATTTAATATCCTTTCGTTTTAGGTCGTAATAAACTGTGCAGTATTAAAAGGGTTAAAATATAATCAAGCCACGCCCACATTTCATCAATGGAGAGACAGTCGTAATGTTTATGGATTAAATTTTGCTAGTAAAGAAGAAGCAGAACAGTTTGCTCAGACCATGTTGACAGCATTAGAAACTTTGAACAGTAAGTTTATTTCGCCCAAATTATCGTAAAGGTGGTTATATTTCTTTGCCCTATGCCCGTCCTTCTTCAGTTTTTAAAGGGATTGTAAAGAGTTTTCTAGTCTTTGAGTATCAGATACACTTATAGCTTCTTTTTAAACCATTCTGATATATTCGGTGGGATGCATACTTCCTCTTTACTTGTGCATTGCATGTGTTCTTTGAACTCTGAGTGTAAATGAAACAGAACATCATATACCCTGAACTCTAAGTCATAAAAGTAAAAGCCTACTAGTATGACATCACTTAGTAACGGCTGGTTGCCGGTAAAATGACCACCGAAAGGTTAATAAAATTGTTGTACATGCAAATAATCATAAGATCCAAAACCAAGCGATATTGTTATTGTCTTTGACCATCCAAAATGATCCATTTTCCTGTACAAGGATAGGTTAATTATATATAAGGAAGGAGAGTCTTGTGTCTTGAGTACTATTAAAACAAGTTATAAGACTAGTCATGAATCAGAAAATACACATACAGAATAAATATCAACAACTTGAATTGAAATTAGTCATGTGATATTTAAACTAAGAGGTTACTGTTATAGATCAGGGGGTTGTTTACTCTTTGTTTACCTGTTTTACCTAATTAATTTGTGACTTGACAAATGAATCTGTCTATTGTACATCAGGTAAGAAAGTTTGTAGTTTGATTCCTTAGATGAAGAGAGTCAGAGATGCACACGGAGGAAGGTTTTTATTATTCAGATTGGACAGAACACTAGGTCTAGAGGTCCTGTGTACAACAGGCTGTGTACATTAAAGATTCGTTGATATTTAGGAAATATAATAAGGAGAAGATGAATGATATTGTCTTGGCGATATTACGATTTATTGCACACTTCTGGTTGTTGTGGGCAATCGTAGCTCAATAAGGAGCAGAAAATAGGTTGAAAATTGTGTTTATTTTATAACAAGAAGGTATTTTGTGGGGTGTTTTTCCAATTATTTCAGTTGTCAGATTATGACGTCTCCATTTTCTTTCTGAAGCCATTGTTGTAAAATAGTGTTTGTCATGTTAGTGAATGTTATATTTTCTTCTATTTATAGATATGTACAGGACACCACCCCCTGTCACCCCTGCTCCCCCACCCCCACAGACCATATATTCACAGATCAACGTAGTTGGACCAGTAGATCATTCAGACGGCCAAAATGATAGGTAAGGCTTTTCTTTTATTTGATTGGTTGGAAGGTTTTATTAAGTGTTATTAGTATTTTTATCATAGTTTTAATGTCTTTGTTAAAATACTCAGAATTCCCCTTTGTGGTATTTTTCATGTAGAGTTGCCACTTACGTTTGAAAGTTAAAATGACGGCTCGTCATTTCTTGAGACACTGCCATATATAGAAAAGACAGATAAGAATATCAAGTAAAATTCCTAGTTTGAGATATCTATGAAGGAATTATGCGATTTTCATAATTTCTAGTACTTCTGAAGACCATTTACATATATTCAACACTCAAATCAACCCCAGATAATGACACATTTGTCTCTTTAAATGAAAAGTCACATTAAAACAGTGCTGTTTTAGATTAAAATGCTTAATCTCTCAGAACATTACTGCCTATTTGTGACTGGATTATTCAAGTCTGGAAGTAGACATGGTTAAAATATTTGTGTAGTTTGTCTTCTTTACATTCCTTTCGTAGATGTCAAGCAGCTATTAATGTCATTTGTTAAATCGTCATTGTATATTATATTTTGTAGGATGGCAAGAGAAGATATTTATAGTCATAAAAGAACCAAATCTGGAGGCGAAGGTAAAATAACAATACTCTGTCACATCTTAGTTAAAATATCCAGTTATTTTATACTTAATGTGTCTCCGGCAGTGTTAATTAAGCTTACATAAGAGCTCAATTAAAAAAAAATGTTCAATGACATTGTGGTGAAAACCATCTCTTTGTAACTGTGGCGGAGGTCAGTGATGAAAAATGTACATGTTAAGTTGGATTAAAGATTGTTTTGAATTAGTTGAAGATGACATACAAAAACTGTTACTTTTTCAGAAATGATTCAAGAGCGTAACGATCCATCACCAAGTTTACCCCAAGCACCTGCAGCTCCACCTGCCCCTCCCGCTCCTCCAGCAGCTCCCCCTGCACCTACCCCCCCTGCTCAACAAGGTATCCCTAAACCTCCTGCAGTTCAGAGTGGAGCACCCCCTCCCCCACCCCCTCCTCCTAGTGGTGGTGTCAGTAACAATTCTAATGATACCCCCTCGAGTGTCAGTGGATTAGCTGCAGCCTTACAGAGTGCTAAATTAAAGAAGGTTGCCAAGGTGAGTATATAAATTGGAGTTATGTTCAGCTTTTCTGCACCCAATTATGTTAAGACAGGCAATGCAATGCCAGCAGTGGGCAATGGGGGAAATTTTGTCAGCACATGGTATAAGTGTACAATTTTACTTTTGAGTATATTAAAGGAATACCTGGCTATGGTAGTCATATAGCATAAAACAATCCCATTCTTCACCTACTTATCCTAATGCCTTGAATATCCCTTGCAGCATTGCTCCAACATTGATCTGTTAAGAGATATATTAGAGCCTTGAAAACAGTTTTTGGATTAACTATTGGCCTAACCTTCAACACTACCAGTACCAGCTTTGCAAAACTATTTGGCTTGAGCAGTATTTATGTTGAAGATCTCACAGTGTTGGCAATAATAAAGATTATAATCATTATCAATCTGTAGGCAGAAGAAAATAGTTCTGGTGGAGGTGGTAATATGAATGATGTGTCTGGTGGTGGTGGAGGAAGTGGTACTATAGGTCGTGCAGGGTCAGGTGGTTTGATGAGTGAAATGCAGAAAAAATTATTAGAAAGACGAAAGAAGGCAGAAACTGGTGGGGTAAGATAGTTTTTGATTTTCGTTGCAAGAAAATGGGTTTTGAATTTAATTTGACAAGCTTGATTTGAGTTGAATTTCTGTAGTGGTTGTCTATATGTATATGTTTACTCACATAGTGTACCTTTGTTAGCATTTTAATTGTTCCAATTCTTTGATAATCATTATGACCCCAACCAAGACAAGATCGTGTTTTTAAGAGATACAGTAAATCTGACTGGATAATGAAGCTAAATTCAAGTTGATTCAGATGACAGGAACACTAAAATCATGCTCAGATAAATTTCCAAGAAAAAGGCCCCTTGTATGTCAACTTTCAGGATGAGACCCCTGGGATGTCAACGGGTTGATTTTCAATTTAAATACTTGGTTATTTCAGGAAGGTGATACAGGTCCAACAGGTCCCCCTCCCACCATCAATAAAACCTGGGGTGCTGATAAATCAAACACAATACAGTCCAATAAACAGGTCAATGGTTCAGAATCTCCCAAAATGTAAGAATTTTAGATAGCTTAATTTGATGTCTTGTAGTGGTTATCTTTCAGTTTTGCTTTTTAAAGCCTAAAAATCTTGTAAATGGTATTGGCATCAATATTTAAGTTAATTAAGTACTTGGCAGGAGATACCCTCTTACATGCACAAAAAATATCTTTCACAATCTCTCCAGAAGTAGGTAATTTCCTATTGAATTGTTGTATTCCAATGCTGAAATTCATAGTCTCTACTTGTGACCTAGACCAGTGCTTCTATAAGAGTATCTCTTATAAAACCTTATACCAAATAGAGTGCTTACCACATTGTGAAAGCAGTATGAAGTCACTATGATATTGTTATCTCTTCTAGAACAAGAAATGCATCTCTAACTGGACAAGAACAAATTAATTTAAGTGGAGCCTCAGATATAGAGGTCATGAAACAAGAAATATTGATGGAAATTAGACAAGAAATACAGAAAATGAAAGTAGAAATAATAAGTGGTGAGTTCTTCTTTTGTTGAATTTTTGTTTTGGGTTTTGAATCAGGGGTTCAACTCAAATGACTTATGTTTGTTAAGTTGGGGCATCAATATTACTGGATAGGCAGGTTTGAGATCTCTCTACAGTTGATTTAGTTGAGAAACAGTTCTCCTTGCAGTATGTCTCTTTTCAAAATGGGCTGCTAAGTTGACAATTGGATTAAAATATAAATCTTGATAATTTGTTCTGTATTTTTTCGATCGCTGACTCCACTTGCATGTGCAATAACCTGCAGAAAAACATGAAACGAAACATTTGCAATTTAATCTGATTGCAAAGTTAAAGGACCTAGTGGCTGAGTACTATCATGTGCTCCAAAACGGAAAAGAACAGTGAAATATACAGATATCACATACTCCAAAACACTGTCATTTTGCATCTCTCCAGTTTTAAAATGTTGAAATATCGTTTAATTTCAGCTATCCGACAAGAATTGGGACACAGATAAACCAAGTTTAGTTATATAATATAATTATTATTATTACTATTCAGTTTTTCATTTATCCAATGATTTGCTCACAAGATAATGCAGGCCATATTTGGAGTTAACTATATATTATAATTAAAGGAACACTATTGCAGATTTTATCATTATTACCAATCATAATGTGATAAATATAAGAGCTGAGATAACTGTAACAGTGTGCCTTTAAAGAGGTTTTAAGAGGTTTTGAACTTTTTATAGAGTTCTTTGTTTTTGCAGCTCTCTTTAGGAGGATTTTGTTTAACGGTTTCATACCTTAGTTACAGAGTATGTTTTTTTATCTTTGAATAACTTTGAAAACATTAAGATAAGGATTTGATCATATTTTGCTGGGCAAAATGGAAACGAAAAATTGCAAGACAATAGAAAAATAATGAAATTTGTTGTAGAAATCAGGGAGTGAGCTAGGCTCTCGTAAGAGAATATTTAACACTTTGAGGGCTGAGAGAAAGATCTATACTTACTTATGAAGAAAATATTTTAAGATCTGAAAAAGTTTAAAACCTTTTAAAATCTCTTTAACTTATGGGATCAAATATTAAGTTGTATAAACGACCTGTTTTCTGCATGTTTTTTTTTTTGTTTATTATACACGAAATCATAGATGTTTAAATTCATTATAAATATCATAAT